GATTTTGGAAATGACATAGAAGATAGGAAATCGATTTCTGGATATGTTTTCCAGGTATTTGGCAACATGGTTTCGTGGGCAACGAAACGTCAACCTACTGTGAGCCTTTCATCAACTGAAGCAGAATTAGTTGCTTTATGTACTGCAACTAAGGAAGGAATGTGGCTATCCAACTTGTTGACAGAATTGGAAGTGGATAACTTACCAATTGTCATATATGAAGACAACATCCCATGCATCAACTTTTCAAAGGAACCCCGAGAACACCAGCGGATGCAGCACATAGACATTAAGTTTGTTTTTATCAGGGATATTATTAAAAGAGGGCATTTAAAGATAATTTACAAACCAAGCAATGATCAACCAGCAGATGCATTGACAAAGCCATTGTCAAAAATACAACATAACAAATTGTTCGAATCTTTAAACATAAAAATTGAAGGGAGGTGTTGAGTAAGGCAATTTTTATTACCAATACTTTTGAACCGAACTGTATAATGTTAACGCGGCTTAACAGTTTCTATCATTGCTATGTGTAATATTGAAGAAATCGCTAACGCAACTATGTACAGACGAATGACTAGTGAGGGAATGCTTTGTGCTGATCAGTTTTAACTTCCAAATTGCAGTTCTTTGGTGGATAGCCAAAGAGGAATAAATAGTTTGAGGTAGTTAACCTCTCGAATACTATTCAACACGAAGAAACGTTGTGAACTTTTTAGCTCATCTCTGGTACTATCTTGGGTCCCAAGCTAATCGATGCACCCTTCGAAACATAGGAAAATTCACGAACCCCTCATTTTATCTGTCAAACTTTCATAGCGAATAAAAACAAACATAGTGTAGTACTAGAATTTCGGCTAGAATGGGGTACGTTAATCAATTTGCTTGGGACCAATAGGCTAGTCAAGTAGTGAGCCAATTTAAAATCGAAAGTTTCGTATTGATTGCTGCTATTACAAAGCTGCTCTATTTTCACTGCTTCACTTCTAAAAAACTGACGTTTGACTCAGTGCGCAGAAATCGCCTGTTCACAACTTCAAAGTGCGCCATTTTGAACTGAGGAAAAAATTATACCAGAATAATTTGCCCAGAATCTAGGTAGACTCCATATAGCAGCAAGCATGCATGAGTAGCCTCAAAATAGCGTGAACTCTCTCATACCAAAAAAAATACCGTCCGGCATTGGCAAGTTCGTCTCTTCTAGCGAAAATTGACAGTATCTTATGGGAGTTTTCAGTGGACTGAAGAGATGAAGTCTGCCTCCACATTAATCCATTGAATTATTACAGAAATCACCCACCTTTGTAACTTTTCATTATTATAATAGTATAATGTTGAAAGATCGACTAATTTCTCGAAGACTCACCAGGGTAGATCCAAAATTTTGAAAATTATCCAACATTTTGGAATTACTGTACCGCACTTTCAGGCATTCTTCGATGTAAACTTGAATCTTCCCGGCACATCCCCACGTCCAGTCGCGATGTAAAACTTTTCACCGGGAAGCTGCTTAAAATCGAGTTTGATGTATGTTTCGTCATCGATCAATGTGCAGCCCTTGTGTTTCGTCAAAACACGGTCGTACAAGAGTCTTGCACGCTTTTTGGCCACGGAATTCTGCTTCATATTCCGGGTCGGATGTTTACTGGCTTTGTACGACTTGTATCCTAGAGGCAAGACAGCTCCTAATCACGAGCAATTTATGAGCTGCTTTTGATGCACCTCGAGTAACTCACATTGCTCAGTGAGAAAGATCACTAACATTTGCTTTTTCACTTTTCACATCAAAGTAACATATGAAGGCGCACCTTCATGCGATGCCGAAAATCTGCTGTCAATCAAAACAACAATAAAAAACATGTTTACAGAACTCAATAACTCAGCGAGACTCGGAGACTCTTAAATTGATTGATTTGATTGTCCTGCATCATCTCTATTTAGGCTGTGTTCCATTTGGTGAATTTTCACTTGAATTTGACACTTCGAAAATAAATTATAATCCCTCTGTTGTTGCTCTTCCGAGTTTCTAGAAGGTGTTTGTCAAAATTGATTCTTGGTCTGTAAGAAATAAGTCTGGTGGAATAGCAGGTTTATTTGTAAATTTTCCAACTGTCAAATTTAAATGAAAATTCACCAAATGGAACACAGCCTTAATAATTTTCGGAACCTATTGCTGCCTTACACTTACCAAGGGCGAATGCTTGTCCGGCTTGATATGGTGGAAAAAATTGATCTGCCTGACCAAATACTCAAAATCCGTAAAATTACGTACCCCGCACGAACTACAATACTCGTCGATGCAGTCCCGTTCCAATGGCTTGGAAAACTGCCGCTGGATGAAACTGCGAACCGAGCTCTGAATTACCACTGTGCCGTTCTAGTGACGATGGACATCCATCCTTCCTCTTTTGGTGCTTCTGATGTGCCTTCCGGATGATCGTGATACGGTACAATTTCTGCGATATACCACCGTCCTACGGCCGTCGACGTCAGTCTCCTTTAAAGTAGAACATCACTACATACGTGTGTTCTTCGGTTTCTCGTTGGCTAAGTCCATAGCGGCAGCTCTGACGATATCGAGTAATTGGTAGCGTGAACTTAATCACGTCTCATGACGATCCTGTACTTGTTCTTAACATGGCCGTGGGAATGCAAAGATAAAGTCGACAAAGATAATCTGTCAGCTTGATATGTTCTTCGTCTTCCAGACCGGTTTTCATTTCAATTTCGTCCGGTTAATGGTTGATGGGCTGAAGTCCGGACGAGGATCACACTCACTGGAACCATTGGTAGCGGTTACTTCAACGTCCTCCTCCTTTTCGGCTTGGGAAATGACGGTGGCTGCTCTGGCTGAACAATCCGCGAGGGAAATGGTTGGTAGCGTTGCCGACGGAGCTGGAATTGGGTGTTAATCGATTGTTGCCTCACCGGGGTGATGTTTTCTAAATCGGGAACTGTAGGTTATATTACTCACCACGCTATGTTTGATGTGCTGTGATGAAATCTTCAAGTTGTAGTTAACTTGCATGGTGCTAACGAGAAGGGGATCGGAGTTAGTTATTACCATTTTCAATGGGACTGTTGTTACGACTACTGGATGATCCGTTCCGATTCCGTTTGAAGTGACAACTGGGACTGGCTGCTGAGGAGGAAGAACAGCTGCTGAAAGCTGGCTGGAACTGTAAGGCACCGGCACAGGTTCTTCCATATTATTCAAGCTATTCGAAAGCCTCAGGATACACTTGGGCTTACTTTGTTATCATACAAAACTGACGTCTAATATGAGAAGCAAATTCTTAAAGGGAGTAAACGGAGTAAGCAGCTAAAAAAATCGATGAACTTCGATTAAATATTGAGGTACATTGAGTTACTCGCTGTAAAAAAGCAACACAGAGTAAACCTGTCTGACCCCTTGCTTGTATCCTTCCCTGGCAAGGATATTCCACACCGTTTGAAAGTTGGCGTTATACCTTTTGGACACATCTCGGATCGAAGGACCGGAATTGGCTTTAACGCACCTCAACACCTTGCTGCGCAGCTGACGATCCCTGGTTCTTGTTTTTTCATAGGTCCGCTGATTCCTTTCCACACTCAGGGTTTCCTTGTAGGTTTGAGCACTCGACAAACTGTTGTTTTCGGCATCTTCTGCACTTTAGCCAGCTTGGAATTAGACCACTCAGGATTTTCCAGATGTTTGTGCACAATATTTTTTCTTCTTTCGAGTTTCATTTGACGTTATTTCTGAACGCGATCGACTACTTTGATCAAACTTGCACCAGTTATTCTCTAAAGAAGTGTAAACAGCTACATGATTTTCGATTGTCAACACTAAAGGCGTGCTAGCGGCGCGCGAGGGGCATAAGAATTTACTTTTAGTCAGCCTTTAGAAAAGTACAGTCTGTACGACTAGTCTAAACCGGTGATAAATAAATAAAGTGTACCAACATGCAAAGTACCAAAATATATGTGGGGAACATGAGTTATAGATTGGGTTTGACAGCCACAGCATCCCCTTGAAAGCCACAACACTAAATCTTGATGAAAACTAATTTCAGCACGCAAATAAAGCAATTTGTTGGTTGTCTAAAACTACAAATTCTAGTTTAAATTCACTTAAACAACGCCCATCAGTATCATCAAACTTTATCAGCCTATTGATATCTAACCCGCTTCTCTCATAAATATTTATTCGATCCTAATGAACTCCACCATCACCATCACCATCGCCGCCACCACAACCGCCATTCTAGTCCGGAAACCGGAAGCCACAACGAGTGGGGTGCGATGGCACAACATTATGGTTTTCGCTGCCATTGTCCACTGCGTACGAACTCTGTATAGGACGATGAGAACAACTTGGGGAGACAGGACGAACGAATATGGAAAACAGCATAATGAGATTAGGCAGAGAAGTTGTCTCCGACGTATTTTTTTTTTCGAATTCCATTCAATTTTTTTCTTACGACCGACCAACCCACCACCGACGAAGAAAACGGTCCCCTCGAGCAGGAGGAGAATTCATTGGGAGCTCTCTATTATGCAATCTCTCGTTTCCATTCTGTACCGAACGAGCCGAGGGGAAAAGGGATGATTGCGAAATCAAGGCGTACTTTTAGATTCCTAATTATAGCAGCCGGTTATTGTCTATTACTTACTCGAAACTCCCTCGTGTGGGGTCAGGGATGACTACGGAACTGCCATCGTTTGTGGTGCGTGACATTTTTCGGATTTCTCCAGCAGGGTGAGGTGACAATGGCGAAGGTGGTTAAGGAGCCGGAAAAAAGAATGACTTTTTAATTCATGTCACGGATGAGCTGTTGAAGATGTTGTTTGAATGCGGGAGGGGGTCTCACTTGATCAGAGAAGGACATAATTCAAGTTTTTAAAGACGACAAGTGTTGAAGCACTTGTTACGGATCAAATTTTGTGCTTGATGTGCAGTCTTGTTATATTCAATAGACATTTTTCGATACTAACCAAATCTTTATACTTTTCAGGAAAAGGGCTCAGGTCAACATGGAGGGACAGTTTCTTGTCCGCCAGATCTACGAAGATGACATCACGTACAACCTGATAGAGGCCGCGGTGGATATTTTAAGTGAGTTTTCCTATAAATCCAAGCTCTCCACAAACGCTCAAATCTATCCTTGCAGATATCCCCGCCGGTGACATCCTGGAGCTGTTCGGGAAGACCTTCTTTGAATTCTGCCAAGACTCGGGATACGACAAGATCCTTCAGGTGCTCGGAGCAACGCCTCGGGATTTCCTGCAAAATTTGGACGCTTTGCACGACCATCTCGGCACGCTCTATCCCGGTATGCGTGCCCCGTCCTTCCGGTGTACGGAAACGGACGGTCAACTGGTGCTGCACTACTACTCCGAGCGGCCCGGCCTGGAGCACATAGTGATAGGGATTGTCAAAGCCGTCGCATCGAAACTGCACGGAGTCGACGTGGAGATCAAGATCATCCGCCGGAAGGGTGATCCCATTGAAGTGCCCACCTCCAAGCCCGAGGACAAGCTGAAGTCACCTCCCGCTGCGCCTCCTCCAGCGGTGCCGGTTGTACCAAAACCAGTTCCTATCATCACTTCAGCCGATCCGGCCGTGCCAGAGCTGGCAAACCTAGGTCTATGTAAACGAATACTAATGTCTAAAACGTACGGTGAATCTTATCTATCGAATAGACTGAATAGTACGTTGAACCCTTCGAACTGTCGCTAGTTGAACCGTAGTCCTAACTTGTAGTCGTTTGCGTTTTCCTTTTCTCTTCCACCTCTCTTTCCAACCCGGTAGATTTAGCAACCTCCAAAAGCTCGACCACGCTTGCACACCGAACCGACCCTACGTCTTGCAATGGCAATAAACCTAGCTTAAGTAGTAGTCAAAACGGAAGCAATAGTAGACTGTTTTTCGATGATAGCCAATCGACCACTAGTAGTAACGACACCAATAATTGTGATAGCAATCAGCCCACGACGGCAAAGGTCCCGCAGATGGTCGAACGGTCCGATCACATACAGTTTCTGATCACTGAGATCTCCGCTCCGAAGACGCCCACCCGGAGGAGCGAGGACAAGGAACAACAAGCCGACTACCAGCTGGTCGCAAAAGGTATGGCAGCTCTCAAATTTTACGCTTCAGACCATGCAAGACTCGATCTCCTCCACAGAACCAATGATCTCGCCGACGACCTTCTGCAAGGTTTTCCCCTTCCATCTGATGTTCAATCGGGACCTGATCGTCGTACAGGCTGGCAAATCCGTTTCCCGGGTCATACCCAAGTAAGTTAGACTACAATTCATGCCCATCACCAAGATCGATCTTTGTTTTCTTTCACCAGAATCTCCGAGCAAAACTGCCCCCTGCTGACGATCTTCGAAGCGATCCGACCGCACCTGGAGCTAAGCTTCGGCAACATCCTGGCACACATCAACACAATCTACGTGCTCAAGACCAAAGCGGGCGTGATGGCTATTAGTGAGAGATACCTAAGACTGAAGGTCGGTTCTACAAACTGCATTTAACCTCTTTCTCAAGGTCAACCGCAATCCCGTTTTCCTTTTCGCAGGGTCAAATGATGTACATCCCGGAATCGGACCTGATTCTGTTCCAATGCTACCCAAGCGTAATGAACCTGGACGATCTGACCAAGTAAATTGCAACCCTTCTCCAACCTTCCATACCAAGTTCTAACGACCTTCCTCAACCCCTTAACAGGAAAGGCCTTCACATATCGGACATCCCGCTGCACGACGCCTCCCGGGACCTGGTGCTGCTGTCCGAAAAGTTCGAAGCCGAATACAAACTGACCACGAACCTGGAAATCCTTACCGACCGACTTCAGCAAACCTACCGGGACCTGGAAAGCGAAAAGCAGAAAACCGACCGGCTTCTGTATTCAGTTCTCCCGAAAACCGTGGCCAACGAGCTGCGACATCAGCGGCCGGTGGCCCCCAAGCGGTACGAAGGCGTCACGTTGATGTTCTCCGGTATCGTCGGCTTCGGGCAGTACTGTTCGGCCAACACCGACGCCGACGGAGCGATGAAGATCGTCAAGATGCTCAACGAGCTGTACACGTGCTTCGACGAGTTGACCGATTCGAAGAGCAATTCCAACATCTACAAGGTGGAAACGGTGGGCGACAAGTATATGGCCGTTTCGGGACTGCCGGACGAGTGCGAGAATCATGCCAAGTGTATAGCGCGACTTGCGTTGGACATGATGGATATGGCGCGGAACGTCAAGATGGGATCGGAAGCGGTGGTAAGTGGGGATGGGAGGCTTTTGGGATGGATTTTCAGCGCGGTGCGGGTTTTATTGATGATCGGGATTCTAGAGGAAATCCTTCCAGGGTGATAGAGAAATTTTTAAAAAAAAATCCACTCTTAGTTCTAGTGGCATTCTCCGGGAATTCTGAATAAACTCTTTCCGGAATTGTGGAGCATTTCCTTCCGGAATTTTAGAGGATCTCCTTCCGGAAGTCTGGAGGAGTTCGTTCTAGAATTTTGGAGCGATCTTCTCCAGCTTTCCAAGAAACTTTTTTACAGAGCGCCAAGAGGAGTTTCTACAGAAATCTTAGAATATTTTCCCAGAGTTCCGAAAATAATTTCATAGGAACACTGGAAGAAATAACGTCACCATTTTTTTTATGAATCCGTCCAGAATTCCACCCGGAAACGGATAATTTCAGCTTTCAACGTGAAAATTTTTCAACAACAAGTCCTCCCAAACCCCAAAAAAAAAATCTTCAACCATTCCGGTAGGAATTCCAAGAAGAAGTATTTTAGAATTCCGAAGCAAATTTCTCTGGAATTTGGCAAAAAATACAATTCCAAAAGAACATTGAGTGGATTCCATACTATTCAAATCAACCAATATGTCACAAGATGGCTGCTATGGTTCTGCAGATTCCATCCATAATTATTGGGAAAAATTCTTCTGAAATTCATGAGAAGTTCTTCATTATAAGAAATTTAAAATAGAACCTCCTATGTTGTATTATTAGTCTGCACATGACGATAGTAAATTTTCCAGAATTCCCAGAAATGTTCTTCCTCGATTCTAGATAAAACTCCTAAAACTCCTTTACAATTCTGGAAGAAATTTTCCAGAATTTTAAAAGAAGCTATTGCGGAGATCCTCAAAACAAATTCGGGAAGGAAGTGCCTTATAAAAAATTCCAATAAGAATTCCTTCACAAATCCAGGTGTAATTCTTCCACATTTTTTAAACCAGTTCCTTAAAAAATACCAAAGGCATTCCTTGACAATTCCGGAGGAAATTCATCACAGAAGCCCGGATGCAATTGGTCTAAAATGGGTAGCACTTACACTACAATAACGGAAAAATTGTTCCATACCTACAACATGAATTCTTCAGAACTCAGGAGAAAATTAAGATATCTGGAATTCCCAGAAGAATTCCTCCAAGACATGAGAAAAAAATCCTCTACACTGGTGAAAGGAATTCTTCTAGAATTTGAAGAAAATGTCATGTAGAGTCCCTCGAATAAAATTCTGCAGCATTCAACAAAAAAACCGATAATCCGAATTCTGAAAGGACTTACCTTACCAATCAGGCTAAGGTCTTGTTGTCCTCTGCTGTCCGAAGAAGTCGTCTCCACTCTACTCGATCCATGGCCACAGTTCGCCAGCCTCGTAGTCTGCGAAGGGTCCGCAGGTCACCTTCTACTTGGTCGATCCACCTTGCCCGCTGCGCGCCTCTTCTTCTTGTTCCTGTTGGGTCGCTTTCTAGAACCATTTTCACTGGGTCGTCGTGCGGCATTCTTACGACGTGCCCAGCCCACCGTAGTCGCCCAATTTTTGCAATGTGGACGATGGATGGTTCTCCCAGCAGCTGGTGCAATTCGTGGTTCATTCGCCTCCTCCACGTTCCGTCATCCATCTGCACTCCACCGTAGATGGTACGCAACACCTTCCGTTCGAAAACACCAAGGGCGCGTTGGTCCTCCACGAGCATAGTCCAGGTCTCGTGGCCGTAAAGGACCACCGGTCTAATCAGCGTCTTGTAGACAGTCAACTTCGTGCGGCGGCGAATTTTATTCGACCGGAGCGTCCTCCGGAGTCCAAAGTAGGCACGATTCCCTGCCATAATGCGTCTTTGAATTTCTCTGCTGGTATCATTTTCGGCGGTCACCAGTGAGCCCAAATACACGAACTCATCGACCACCTCGATTTCGTCACCGTCAATCTGAACTCGGGGTGGGAGGCTAACATTGTCTTCCCTAGAACCTCTTGCTTTCATATATTTTGTCTTTGATGCGTTGATGGCAAGTCCAATCCGTCTAGCTTCAGCCTTCAGTCTGATGTACGTTTCCGCCATCATCTCAAAGTTCCGTGCCATAATGTCAATGTCATCGGCGAAACCAAGGAGCTGGATGGACTTCCTGAATATCGTGCCACTCGTGTCTATCCCAGCTCTTCTGATCACACCTTCTAACGCGATGTTGAACAGCAGACACGAAAGTCCATCACCCTGCCGTAACCCCCTTCGAGATTCAAAGGGACTCGAGAGTGTCCCCGGTACTCGAACAATGCACATCACTCGACCCATTGACCAATCGCGTCAGTTTATCCGGAAGTCCGTACTCGTGCATAATCTGCCATAACTGATTTCGATCGATTGTGTCGTATGCGGATTTGAAATCGATGAACAAATGATGTGTGGGCACGTTGTATTCGCGGCATTTCTGCAGAACCTGCCGAATCGCGAAAATTTGGTCCGTGGTAGCGCAGGCACCCATGAATCCCGCCTGGTATTGCCCCACGAACTCTCTTGCATATGGTGACAGACGGCGGCATAGAATTTGGGAGAGTACCTTGTAGGCGGCGCTCAGCAGTGTGATCGCGCGGTAGTTGCAGCAATCCAACTTGTCGCCCTTTTTGTAGATTGGGCATACGACACCTTCCATCCACTCCTCCGGTAATATCTCCTCCTCCCAAATCTTGGCAATTATCCAGTGCAGCGCTCTAGCCAGTGCTTCACCACCGTATTTCAATAGCTCACTTGGGAGTTGATCTACACCAGTTGCTTTGTTGTTCTTCAGCCGACCGATCTCCTCCTCAACTTCTTGAAGATCAGGGGCCGGTAGCCTGTCGTCTTCTGCGCGTGCTCCAAGGTCTGTTGCCGTGCCACCTTCGTTTTCTGCTGCTTCACCGTTGAGGTACTCGTCATAGTACTGCTTCCACCTCTCAATCACCTCACACTCGTTCGTGAGAAGGTTACCGTCCAAGTCCTTGCACATATCGGCTTGCGGCACGTAGCCTTTGCGCGAACTATTTAGCTTCTCGTAGAACTTCCGTGTGTCGTTTACGCGGTACAGATTTTCCATCGCCTCGCGATCTCGATCTTCCTGCTGACGCTTCTTCCTTCGGAAAACCGAGTTTTGTCTGTTCCGCGCTTGTCTGTATCGCTCCACATTCAATCTCGTGCGGTGTTGCAGCATTCTCGCCCGTGCTGCATTCTTCTCCTCTACTAACAGTTTGCATTCGCCGTCAAACCAGTCATTTCTTCGGTCCGGGATTGCAGTACCTAGTGCCGCTACAGCAGTACTACCTATGGCTGAACGGATGTCCCTCCAGCCATCTTCAAGAGAAGCTGCGCCAAGCTGCTCTTCCGTGGGTAGTGCAACTTCCAGCTGCTGCGCGTAGTCCTGGGCAACTCCGGTGTCCCGTAGTTGCTCAATGTTGGGTCGTGGCGTTCGACTTCGACGTGTGTTATGCACCGTCGAGAGTTTTGAGCGCATGCATACTGCAACTAGGTAGTGGTCCGAATCTATGTTCGCACTGCGGTACGTGCGGACGTTGATAATGTCGGAGAAGAATTTCCCGTCGATTAGAACGTGATCGATTTGGTTTTCTGTGTGTTGGTCAGGTGATCTCCAGGTGGCTTTGTGGATATCCTTGCGGGGGAAAAAGGTACTTCGAACTACCATACCCCGGGAGGCTGCAAAGTTCACGCATCGTTGGCCGTTGTCGTTCGATACGGCATGCAGGCTGTTTGGCCCGATTGCCGGTCTATACATTGCCTCCCGTCCTACCTGAGCGTTCATGTCGCCGATGACGATTTTGACGTTCCGTTGCGAACAGCCGTCGTACACCTGCTCCAGCTGCGCATAGAACGCTTCTTTCTCGTCGTCGGGTCTCCCTTCGTGTGGGCAGTGCACGTTGATGATGCTGTAGTTGAAGAAACGGCCCTTAATCCTCAACTTGCACATCCTCGCGTTGATCGGCTGCCAACCAATCACGCGTTGGCGCATCTTACCCAGCACTACAAAGCCGGTTCCCAGCTCGTTGGTGGTGCCACAGCTCTGGTAGAAAGTAGCCGCTCGATGCCCGCTTTTCCATACCTTTTGTCCCGTCCAGCAAAGTTCCTGCAGTGCTACGACTTCGAAGTTGCGTGGTTGAAGTTCGTCATAGATTAACCTATCGCAACCCGGGAAGCCGAGCGATTTGCAGTTCCATGTTCCGAGTTTCCAATCGTAGTCCTTATTTCGTCGCGTAGGTCTGTGCCGATTGTTCCGATCCGTATTTCTTTCTTCGGTATTTGCAACTTTGTTTTTTTTCCAGGGCGGCTTGTTGGGCCTGCCCCAACCCCCTGTCTCGCCGGGGGACCATCGTGCACAGCTCTGTTTAGAGTCCCACGCTGGCACTAGGACGGTGATCAGCCGCTCCTAACATGGAGAACAGACGCCGTTTTGAGCCGCACCTCCATGGTGAGCAGACGCTCAGGTTTGGTGAAGCATTTCCTCTATCACCGTACTATGGTTACCGCGCCAGTGTTCGCGTCGCACCTCTTCACTTTGCTATTGCCGGACTGGCAACATTGCCCAGGCTACGCCAACCAGCTGTGTCCATGTTTCAGCTGGTAGTCTTTTGTTATCATATGACTCGAGGAGGCGTGAAGTAGGAACTTGTGAGGACCAGGGCTAGGTATTCCGCTCCTTCCAGGTTGTCAACTCACCATTTTGTAGCCCAATTCTTACATAATTCCGCGAGGAACTTCTTCACAATTCCGAACGGAATTATTCTATATTTTTAAACGAAGACCTTAATGAACTTTTGAATCGCTTTCTCTAAAATAACGAAAACAATTGCTCCCGACTTCCAATGTGAATTCATCAATACTCCGGAGAGAATTCAGATATCTGGAGAAATTCTTCCAGAATTCCTAGATGTATTCCTCCCGAATTTGAGGAAAAACTCATCCACTATTCTGGGACAAATTTCTCAAATTCCTCCAGA